ATATATAGTTATATATGGACAACCATATATAGTTATATATGTACAACTATATATAGTTATATATGTACAACTATATATAGTTATATATATATATATATAGTTGTTGTTGATTGCCTTCAAGTCAAGCAAGACTTACAGCGACCCTATGAACAAAAGGCCTGAAGCTCCTCTACAACTATCGACGTTTATCAAAGTTTATAGAATTTCTGGAGGCAAGTTGTTTATGAAGTGAATGCCATGCCTGTTTCCTATCTGTCTATCTATCTATCCATCTATCAGAGGGCAGAGATACTAAAATTTCTTAATCATAACCGAATATCTTGAGGGGATGAGTAGGGACAATAGTCTCAGGAGACATCAAGGTTCACTTTGGTACTATAGGGACATCATGGTGAACTGGCATAACGTACTCCACAAATACAAGGTTCTACATCCCACTTTGGTAAGTATCAACTAAGCTTGTAAGCAGCAATCTAAAGTACAACTGTTGGTTTCTTCCTGTCCAAAACCAAAGAACTAATGGATCATACAAACCTCAACTCCACAACCTTGACGTTAGAACTAAATGGTGCCCAGCTGCCACTGTGGGCCACTCCAAAAGGGCATAGAAGGTTCTGGATAGACTGAGGGGAAAATGTGGAATATTACTCAAAACCATAAAAATAATCTGACAGAGACTTGTGAAATCCTCAAGGCTATGGCTCTTTGTCACCCTTTGAACTTGAAACAATGTTCATCCCCATGGCTCAACTTTCAGCCAAATAATAATAGGCAGGCCTATAAGGTAATAAATAATACCAGTAACAAGCTCACTCTTTAACATAGCCAAACATATAAAGTCAAAGGACAGTATTTGCCTAAGGATAAAACTCAAAAGACAGGAATGGGTGGGATAGAAGGATTAATAGAGAATGGTTAACAGGAAAATGGATTTGCTTTCCAAAATCTCACTCTATGGCAATTAAAAAAAAAAAGAAAGAAAGAATTTTGCCTATAGAGATATTTGCTCACAAGGTGATATCTGTGATCCTTTCTCATCTATCTATAGGGGAGGCTTTGGTTTTTACCACCAAGAGAAGTACATTCATTAATATATACAGTTATCAGACCCAAACAATTTATCCCATTAAAATCCTGCTGAAAATAGCAAGGTGCTCTCTAAAATCTCCTAATTTCAGGGTTGTTGTTTTTGGTGGTGGTATTATCATCAAGTCAGGACCAACTCATAACTCATTCTCCAGTGGGTTTTTAGGGGCAGTAAATAGGACAGGAAGTTTGCTTTCTCCCACAGAGCAGGCTTACACTCCAAGAAACAAGAAGATTCTGTACCTAATCATACTTTATCCACCAGATACTGGAAAAGAACAACTCCTCCCCCCCATCCTCACAAAATAACAACAAAAACAAGTCAACCCAAAACAATAACAACAAAATCCTTTGAGTGTCTGGTGGATGCATGGGGGTGCTGGGGAAGGGGGACACTGGCTGTCTAAACTTTACTGCCAACGTAAATAAGTACATAAATGATCTTTTTTGATCAGAGGAGTTTAATAGTGAGGAACAGGACAAGCAGAAGAAGGCTGAAAAGGGTTGGTGGTTCGAAGTCAGGGATGGCAGATGATTTGGGGCCATCTGTTCCAGGAGCTGAGGGAGCGTTGAGAGGAGGAGGTAGCCAGGCAAAATCCAGAGTTGGACAGGAGTGTTTACTGGGGGAAGAGCTGAGGAACGGCCCATAAATGTGAAAAAGTTCTGAGATTGGACCCATGTGCTAGCACCTGTGTAAGGTTAAGTTTCTAGGATTCTGAGAATAAAAGCAGAGAGATATTGGGCCAATGAAACTCACAGACAATTCCCAAATAAGCTTGCTTCTAATTTCCACCCTCCTCCTTTGCTGTTTTTTGCTATCAAGTCAGAACTGACCCACAGCTGATCCTCCAGTGGGTTTTAAGAGGCAGTAAATCAAAGGAAGGAGAATATCCACTAGACTTAATTCATTTGAGCACAGTTCCCTTCTTTTTTAAAAAGTGTGATTTTAACGAATGTTTACAGAAGGTCCTTTTTTTAAAAAAAGTAATTCATCTGGGAGTGGTGAGCACTAGGGTGGAATGTTGATTCGCTAAGGGAAGTGAGGCCATGTGATACGGCCTCCTAGTAAAAAACCCATTTGGTTGCTCTTATGCTAAACACTGACACTCATGTGCCAAATACAATAATGGTTACCCATAGTGAACAGTGTTTGGTGGACTTTCCCCAATTAAAACAAACTTGGAAGCAGGAGTGGCATCCACTTCTGAAATGGCTTGCCTCCAGAAACTCTATGAACAGTGCTCAGGTCTTTTGTTCATAGGGTCACTATGACTCTTAACAACACAGGACTTAACAACAATAACAATTCATCTATTTTAATGTTTAATCAAAACTCTAATTGTTTATTGTCTTTCCTTTACCCCATTTTTCTATGTAGCAATTTTCACTTCTCTCTCCTTTGCCTTTTATCACCCCAGATGTTTTGGAGCAGTGACAATAAAAGTAATTTAAGAGATCAAAGAACTGCCTGTGGCTGTGTAAGTGTAGTGGTGTGCCTGTAAATGAACTCAGACCAGGGCTCTAGTGATGTCACCTACTGGTCATGGGAACTCAAGCACAGTATCAAACTCCATGAGCTTCAGACACTTCATCTGGGAAATGGGTTTGCTGAGCTCTGTCTTCTAGGACTGTTGGGAGGTGTATAATGTATTTGAAGCACCTGTCACCATGTCCGTCATTTACTGATACTTTAAATAATGGCCACTGTTACTTTAAATAATGATCACCAAGTGATCAGGCCCACCCACTCCTCTTTGGCTTATTTTTTTTTTTTACTTTTTTTTTTAAATTCAGAACATGTCAGAGAATATGCAATGCCAGAGATTAGCAGGAAAAAAGAAATTTCAGTAAACGTTCCCTATTGGTGGTGGTGGTTTTGTATACCATTGAGTTTGAACTGATGCATAGCTGACCCTCAAGTGGGTTTTCAGAGGCAGCTAATTGCACAGGACAAGATATCACCCATTATTCACCTGTGGAGCAAGCAGGTGGTGGCCTCGAACCGCGGTGCCTTTGGGATTACAGCACAACTTCTTGCCACTAGGCCACCAGAGCTCCCTACTTTCCCTAATAGGGGATATATTATTTAATGTGGATGTTGGGTAGTCTTCCTCATCTGGAGGCAATTCAAAGCCTTAGAATGTGTACCAATGACCACCTTCTTCCCTCCCTTTTTCAGCTGCTTTTAGAGGAAAACTCCAGGGGCTGGGTTTAATTATCCTGGTAATCCCAGGCCTACTGTGGAGCCTTCCAAAGAGCAAATGTGCAATTCATGTTTAAGGAAAAAAGTGAGCCAACACACAAAAAGTCTAATTTATTACCATTTCTTTTATTCTACGTTCTTGAACAGACTAAATGAAATGTAACTTTTAATTTCACAGAACAACAGGACAGGAGCAGAAAAAAAATTCAAGCCAAGATTTGAATATTTTTTACTATTTTTTCTCTACTTCTTGATTCCAACAATTTTATCACATTGGTAAGGAAATGCCTATCCAAATGCCATCTTTTCTTGTTCCACCTCACCAAGTAAGAGGAAAGATTTCCCAATTTGTCTTATAAACCAGCTAAATTTGTACTCTTCTGTTTCATAAGCAGCAAGAAGTATGCAACCAGTATCATTTATATCAAGATAATTACGTCTTCTAAAAACATTTGAAGACTTTCAATAATAACTGAAGCCAAACTCAGAAATTACTCATGAAGAACAGGCTCAGAGATAGGCACTGTCCCCTCTTAACCTCTCCTTAGCCCCCTACTTCTTAGAAGATTGAATACTCCCTTTAAAAACAAAGTAAAGAAACTGCTTCCAACTCCACTATTCCCTGTCACCGGATATATTGGGATGGGCATTTGTGCGAGCTAGAGCTGCAAATCTCATTCGGGCTCTCTCTTCTTCCTCTCTCAAAGCCTCATCATACCAGGATGGGAAGGCACTGGGAACGGTATCATGAATCTTGGCCAAAAACTCAAGGACTTTCATCTTGGAGGTTTCAGCATGGGCTCTGGGACCCCACAGTACATTGTAGCGTGGGGGATTACTGCCATGTACCTGCCGGTACTCTAGGTAGTTTTCTTGCACGAAATCTTCAGTGATGAGCTTCCTGGGCTCCCCATAGATGAAGTGCTCCTGGTCTGCATATATGCCCATTACATTCAGCACTTCCCAGATGTCTTCCTCAGTAGCGCAGTTGCCTCTCATGAAAATCACACACAGGACGGTCATCAGGAGCCCGGTCTTGGGCATAACCTCCTCACCACTCTGGCTCCTGTCGGGGGTGAACTTAAACTTGCTGATGAGGGCATAGCAGTGGTTGATGGGGTCGACTTCCATCACATCGATGCCAAAGGCCAGCACCAGGAGCTCAGAGGCTCTTTTGAGGACCTCGTCGAAGTGATCCCTGTGCTTTTGGATGACGTACTTCAGCATGTCTTCCTTCGTTATGATTTCTTTCATATTATACTTGCGCAGCATGAACTGGACCAACATAATTGCCTTCTGATCCAGAGGGGTCCTGCGTGAACGATCCGAGGTGGCTGAGGCCTGTGAGGTACTTGGGCGCGCTTCATCTTGCATGGTGGCACCTTCATCAGACCCTCTCCATGAGGCACTTGCAGAAGCTGCACTGATGGATGAGGCTATTTCTGCCTCAGGAAGAGGCGAGGTCGGGGGAGAATCCGCGAAAAGAGAAAAAGAGGAGGAGGATGAAGACCATCCCTCCTCCTCTGCTGCAATGTCCTCAGCACCCCTGGAATTCTGTTTTTCATACCGGGCCTGACGGCGTTTTTCACGAGCACGGAGCTTACTTTTGCGACCACGAGGCATGATGATTCCAGTCAGGGACAGCAGGCAGGAGCAAGAGGGCTGGCGGAAAGAGGCTGAGAAGATGCTGCACCTGTGAGGAAGAGAGAGAGCCTTGACTTTAACAAAGGCCTATGCAGATTTCCCTCTAGCAACACAGTGTTCTGTTGTCCTGAGCAGTCTGTCCCTTGAGCCTGTGGAGGAAGTTAAGACTATGCCTTGGGCCCCAACCTATCAGCTCTGCCCACAGCTTCCAGGACTGAGTGCAGTCTGGCAGGTCTTGGCTTTGTGGAGCCCCCTGGGTTTGGAAGTGAGATAGCCTTCTCAGTTTAGATTAATGATCATTATATCTACTGCCTGTTCCCCCTCACCCTTAAGCGACCCCCTTTTACCTCAACTACTGTAAATCCTAGACACTTCCTGAAACAGGAAAAAGAGAGGGGCTTTCAGTGGCCCCTCCTGGGATTACAGAATAGAGAACAGGGGAGGGGTTCTATGGAAACCCCCTTTTCTTGAATGACTGTTTTTCAGAAATCACTTATTAGGTCACCCCTAGTATACTATGGACCTTTCAATTCTGAAACCTCTGGAAGAAACAGATGTTCTTCTGCTTGATAGTCCTACCCTCGGGCCCCCAAGGGAAATCTGCATGGACAGGGCTGTGGTCCAGGCCCCTCTGAGGGTAAAGTGGCCCCCAATTCTGCCTCAGAGTCTTCTTGACATCACATAGGCTGAAATTTCTCCCTCTGCTGACCTGAGATAACCACCTCTGACCTTTATTTTCTGAAATTCCAAAATGGAATTTGGGATGGGGGATGTCCCATTTTCCACCCTCTTGGCTTCATCTCAGACTTCTGCCCTCTAAAGATCTAAAAGGCTACCTCAAACCAAGAGACCACCAATAGGTTGGTCAAACCTCAGACCAATACCAAGACCTCCCCAAGACCCTTAAAATAAAAGCCAGGCGCACCTTGTACTGATAGCTCTGCCTTGTGTCTTCCAGGAATGACAGCAGGAGATCAGTGGGGATTTCCTCTACCAGAGTGGGCAGTCTGGTCAGTCCTCTGAGTAGAAAGGCAAAGGGTGTTTTCTTCCTCCTGGTGTCTTCCTTAAAAGGCTCTGGGGAAAATGCTGTCTCTGAAAGTCCTGAGCTAATAAAGCTCTTGCTGAGAATGTATCCAAGCCCTAGGCTAGATATCAGATGGGAACAGTTTAACAAAACGCAGGGAGTTCAGAGCAGGTGGTGGGCTATCAGAGAAAGCACACACTGGCCCAGTGTAAAAAGAGAAAGGGCCATGTGAGAATTGCCATATTTGACCTTTCCCAGCTTCACAGGGGGAGACTACTCCTACCCACAGCATCAATAAAAATACTAAATGCCATGAGGTCAGACATGTCCCCAATGCTCCCATGCTTCCTTCTATTAATCTCAACACCACTCTTACTGCTTTGCTGGGTCCAAAATCTGATGTTATAGCCCACAGATCATACAGAGCTATATTGGGAAAGTTAAAAGATTATAATTCAGATTAATAACAGAATATAGTCAAGACAGCTGTCAAAATATGCACACAGGCCTCATGGCTTCAAGCATTCCCAAGTTCTCAGTCCTACCAATATTGGCTCCCCCCTTGCAATTGTCCAACAAAGCTCTCAGTCCTGCCAATATCAGCTCCCCCCACAAAGTCCCATCTAACATCAATTGTCCAGTTCAGCCATCACGGCTGCTGCCATCCCAAAGCATGTCCTACATTTCACTGGCTTGGGGAAGGTCTCTTCTCTGACTGGGGGAAAAATTCTCTCTTCTGGTGGGGGAAGATTTTCCTTTGGTGGGGGAAGATTCCATCTCTACAACAAAAATCTTCAATTTCTTGGTGAGACTAGTCAATCCCCTTGTAGATTGTTGAGACTGGCCAAACTCCTTATGGAATAGTAGACAGCCAATCCCCTTACGCATAGGCCAACACATCCCATTCCATAATCCCAAACCATCCACATAGTAATGTAAAATCAGAGCTAGAGAAGTCATGTTGAAAGATAAACTCCATATCTATGGGGTGTATTCACCAGCCAAACTGCCTTTTGGAAATCTTGTAGTCTAAAAGATCTGCTTTCTATTGAGAAGAGGATATGCCACATGATTTTTTTTGTTTAGTTATTGGTTTGCATATAATCATTCACATATGTCATGTTTTATACATATACTTTCAATTTTATATAATTACCATTACTTTATGTGTATTCCATCTTTTCTATCACTCATTGAACCTTTCCTATTACTTCACCCCCTCTTTACCCACTAACTTCCGCTCTCTCAGTGACTTTTCCCCCTTTTTTACTCCCCTTTTCTCTTATCTCTTTTGAACATTTATACATCTTACTCTGTTATTCTCCTATTGTCACAATAGTGGCTTTAGACAATATTTGTGTTTATATGACTGAGATTTTTCTCTCAGCAAAATGTTCTCTAGTCTCTCCCAAGTTATATAATATTTTACAAAATTGTTGCTCCTTAGTGCTGCATAGTATTCCATTATGTGAATGTATTGCAATTTTTCGATAGATTAATTTCCTGATGGGCATAACAAAACAGCAAATAATATGCTGGAGAGGATGAAAAGAGATTGGAAATTTTATACACCACTGGTGGGATTGTAAAATGGTACAATCCCTATTGGAAACTTCTTTTATCTAAATTTATCAGGAATTGTTATAGTTATAGTAAAAAAGATTTTGTACATTTTGGCTAGGTTTCTTCTTTAGGTAGATTTTGAATATTACTGTTGTTAAAATTGTGATATTTTCTATTTCTTGCCATGCTTATTTATTTATTTTCTATTACTTGTCATGATTTATTTTGTATGGCTGCACTCCTGATTTTGCTATACTGTTCTATACAACAACTTTCTGAAATGATTTAGTCATTTGCACTGGTCCTTTTAAGTTTTCTAACTGGAAAGTTGCACTGTCATCATTTATTGCTTTTCTCTTTCCATCCTTCTTACCTTGTATTTATTTTTATCTTTGAATTGTTCTGGTTATATATTCTAGCAGAGTACAGATGGAGCCAGGCCCATATATCTGTGTCTTGGCTGTGACTTAATGAGACTGTTCCTAACATTTCCCTTTTATATATGTAGATTTTAGACACCGGAAATTCCCTTCTAATGTTACTTTGATGAATATTTACCATTAATTGCATTCATTACCCCACCCACCCACAAGGGCTTTTTCTATACTTCTCGATATAATAGAATCCCTTTTCTCCTTTAAATCACTGTTTATCTTGTTGCTAAGTGCTGTCAAATTGGTATAGACTTATAGCTGACTCTCCAGTGTGTTTGCAGAGGCTGTAAATCGCCCAAGGAGACTGCTCATCATTCTCTCATGGAGTGAATGGTGGTTTCAAATCACATGGGCTTCCTGTTCAATGTCTTATAATTAGGCCACCAGAGGTCTCTTCTAATTCACTAGAGAAATCCCAACTACAATTTCTTCTAATGTTATATTGTCTTTACTTGGTATTTATCTTTCTTGAGCATGGCTTATTTCTTTATTTATTTAAGTTCTATCAGACATGCTATGAATGGCCTTCTTCCCTTTTTTAAAAAAATAGTTTTCATACATTAATTAATTTACATTGTGTTTCATTCATGTATATTGTGTTCCTACAATCCCTCATTAGTGTGTCACATAATCATTCGTATACACTGTATCCCCTATAATTAATTATCATCTATCTATGCTTATCTTTTCAAGTCCAAATTTACCTCCCCCACCTCTCAATCCACCCACTAAATACTCTTATTCTAGTACGTTCCACCCTTCCCCCTTTTTTAGGCCTATCTTTTCTTTTTATTAAGGACAATAGGCTTTTTCAATTGAGCTTAATTATTTTCTTTTTATCTTTTTGTATGGTTTGGAAGAGTTTATACAAAAAGGCAATTCATTATCCCCTTATCATTTGGTACAACTGGCTACAAACCTAGCTCAGCCTAGAACATTCTGAGTAGGGGTGAAGCTTAGATTAGGGTTATCTTTTGTATTATTCTACTAAAGTTTTTTATTTATACTGGGAAGAATTTGGTCAATTGGATTTCTCTAAAAATTTTTCTATTTCACTGGAATTTCAAATTTTGACACATAATATTTAGAAATAAAATGTATTTTCTTGATATATTCTTAAACATATACAAAAGTAAAGAGCATATTATAATGAACCAAACATACTTGACACTCAGTATCAATAATCAGTAGTTAGAGGTAGAAATAATTACACCTCTAGGACAGGAGGACAAGGAGAAGTAATGTTACTAGAGTCTAGGTGTTTGGGTCAATAGAATTAGGAGCCATGGTGAGCCAGTGCTGGATAGAGCCAGGTCAAAGACATAGTCACTGAAGGATAAACCATCTGACACAGAGAGAAAAAGCAAGAAAAACTTTGTCTACTCACATATTCCTGGGTTTTAATATATTCCTGGTGCCTCCTGATGCATGAAATGACAAAGCAGCAAAATGTTGGAGAATTGAGAAATAGGGGTTAAGCCTCTGTATGATAGAATTTAGAATGTTACTTGGGTTTTGGTGCTAACTGAAAGGTCAGTGATTCTAAGCTACTAGTTGCTCTG